GTAGGAGAGAGAATGGAAGGTTTGGATAAGAATGATGATGCGAATATGGAAGATGATGATGATGCAATTGAAATTTGTATATTGTTTATATTGTTAATTGTTTTTGGTGGTTATAAAAAATTTAGAAGATATAATCTATTTATATTTCAATTAATCTGTTTATATTAGCAACAATTACTTAAAAAAAAAAAAAAAAAAAAAAAAATATGGGTTAGGGAAAACCCAAACCCATTAAGGGATGGGTAGGGTAGTTCCCATAGGGGATTGGAGATGGAGAACAAGGAAAAATTATAATAGGGGAATGAAGATGAAAAATTAATATCCATCCCATTGCCCCCCATTGCCATTCTTAGCCAGGCTCAGTTGTGCTGAGCAAGACCCATCATCTGAGAAGTTCACTAAGGTCATGACAAGCCCAGGTAACGCAGTGTAACTCGGTTGGGGTGGAGCCCAAGCTTGACTGAGCATAGCCAAATGAAGGGAAAGCCCAGCTATAAGTAAAATCCCAGCTATAAGTAAAAGCCCAGCTATGTATGAGCGTGGGTTGCCGGGCAGATGGGTACCTCAGGGGCAGGACCATTTGGGACCCACAATGCTTCAAATCCCTAATCCCTCCTATCAAACAGTACCCACTAAACCTGCTACATTATTAAACCAGTGTTTAGTGTTGTAAATTGTAGAAATATCAAAAAAATCACTTTTATCTCAGAATGTTTAAACTCTCGAATATAAGAACTCTTGACATAATCACGAAGACAAGTGATAAGGAATCCAAAAATGAAACCATCACAAATCTTCGTAACTTGTAGACAGACAATACCTAGCCGCTCATCACACGCTTGAGAGATTTCATCAAGGTTGTATGGCGAGTCATGAGGGAGTATCAGTTAACGGTTGGTGTGACAGGGATTTTGTCCCGTGCATGCTTGCTACTTTCTTGATGAAAGCCAACTATTAGAGAAGAGAAATGGGTTTTAGCTAAGAGGTATTTATCTTGAAGAGATGTTAGCTATAACATACAAAATTTTGAATCCTGGAATGTTAGGTCAGGCTATCACCACCAGTTTTCAGCTGTGTCTTCATTCTATAATGTCACAAGAATAATATTGTAACCACCAACTTACACCATGTAGAGCAACCAAAGGAAGGAAAATATCATGCAATGACGGAGGCTAAAGCAATCAGGAAATTTTGGTCAATAGATTTCCAAACAAACTTTACGGACATCTTTCAGCTTTCTGATGATTTTTGTTCATCTGGCCAGCACTAGTCCAGTTTCTCTTCCTGGTACACTCAAACTGACATCCTCATCTAACCAAATATTTTTCTACACTAGTCAAAAAATTACAAGACACAAAGTCCCTTGCAAGGGCTAATTCCTCATCTCATCTTTCTTACACTCCGACTGATCCTACCAAAATAATTAGACTATCAGGTTAGCTTTATTTGATCGACATTTATCCCAGAATAGAGCTCTAGAAACATTTAGAAGTCTATAGCATAACTCTACTTGTACAATCCTCATTAATGACACAAAATTCACCTTATCTTCTAATAAATAATAAAATGGATTAAAGAAAATAAGTTGCTCTATGACAACCTCAAAACATGCGTGTTTAACCACTACCTTCCATACATATATATCGCTCCCTGTCTCTTAAACTTTGATGGTGAATAAACTTCTTGTTTCAGCATCAGGGCCTTCGAGATGTTTGATATTTCATCAAAGTTGAAGTTACAAGTTACTTGTGCTGCAAAACACCCAGTGATTACATCTTTTCCCCAGCTTTACCATCTCTCTCCTTCTATAACATCTTTTGTATATACTTTGGGAGTTCCTTCAAATTTCCAATATAGTATAGTTACACAAAGCTAAAGCTGAAGCTGGAGCTGGAGCTGGAGCGGGGGAGCAAGGCCCTATAGAAGTGTTTAAGAAGTTGGAGTGGGAGAGGGCCGGGGCTGGGAGTGAGGTTCCAGAGCAAAAAGTGAGGCCCCCATAGCCCCTAGAGACTAATGTACTCTCAATCACTGCCACTCTTTAGCCCAAGAAGTGAAGTTCCCAAATTTGGGGATCTCTAATCCAATAAATTCTCACATATAACAGCACTACTCAATCTTTCTTATCTAATGAAATGTTTTATAAACCTTAAGGAAGCAGGTTTTATTTTGTTTAGGCACATCAGGTGGAAGTGTGATTAGGTAGTTATTGGTTGGTGGAGCTAACCTGCTTCCTTAAGGTTTTTGAGGACACTTTCAACCTCTGACTTAATGGAATTTCATCAACCATTGACCTGGAACAGAAAAGAAAAACCTATTCTTCTAGGTGTCCTATTTTCCTTCTCTATACTGCCCAGATTTACCAAGTAACACCCATCACAGTTATGCTTTTTGGGTTCTAAGCTCCCCTATTTGATTAATGGGGATACGGGGAAAAAAAAATTATCAACCAGTCATTGAATTAACCTCTAATTTATAGCAACAAATTGTTTAGAAACAGAACCCAAAAACAAAAAAGAAACTTAATCCATATTTTTAAATTAAAAAAACAGGACATTCCTTCTTAGCCTCTGCCCCAGCACAGAGAGACAGCATAGCAGCCAAAATTCTAGAGGCAAAAGTGCCTATTAGGCTTGTGAAGACTGTAAAAATTTATTACATAGAATCGACACCATGACATAAAGGTAAGGTAACAACCCCCATATCTATATATTTCATCAGTGAAGCACAAGTGAGGGCAAAATGAAGAAAACTATCTACCCCACCAACATTGCACAGAAGAAATATAAAGGGGAAAGTTTTTAAATCATCTTCCTTGGCATGCCTGTCCGAATCTGCAACATGGAATTGCCACAATATTTCCACAATGGCATCTCCTATTCACATGGTGCCGTGTGTCAGCCTCATGAGGTAACATGTGGGCCAATAGGGCACCTCCACATACTCCACTTTGGAATCAAGCTATGCCACCCAAGGGTAGCGCACAAAGTGCATTTGGGCCCAAGGGAACAAAGCATCCTCTAGGCTGTTGGGTACTCCAACTTATGTGATTTGTGGGACCCAACTTGTTCTTACCGAAGAATTATTTAATCAAGTATGGTATTTGTTGAGATGTGCTGGCAGCATATACACTTTATAACCATGACCTTTGATTAGAAGAAGTGGGATCGGCAGCATGTGCATTGGTGGTTCAATTGAATACTATGTGTGCTCAATATATTTGCAAACTTGGGAGATTCCTCATTCATTTTTGGGGGCTGATTTGGGTTGTTTTTCGAGCCTTCTTCAGCTAGCTTTTAATACTGCATTCAGCCACTTTGTTTTTCTCTTGTTTTGGTGGTTTTGTTGGAATTCATCTGAGAGTGTTTGTGAGACCTTTGTGTCACTTACAAGTTACAATCCATTTGTAAACTTATTTGGTGATAGTGGAATCTAACTTCAGTCACGTGGATGCACCTCTAGTTTGAGGAGATCCAATAAAAATTCTTGTGTCTTTGATTGCTTGATTTTTGTTTGCCTATTTGTGTTGAATTTGCTAAATTGTTTCATTCTTCCATTGATTTACATGAGTGGGAAATCATCTATTTTATAACATTGGCCTCTTGTAGCACCCCATTAGCTAGGTCAAGGATTTTCTGCTCGAGTACACTGTCACCCCTTGTGTTGACATGCTCGATATCTCCTTGACTCAGTCAAGTAGTTCTCCCACAAAGCATGTCCCCTAGACCCAGGTATGCCCATCTATGAAGCACGGATACAGACACGCATACGGACACGGACACGGGACACGGTAATTTTAAAAAAATGGGGACACGAGCACGGCTGGAGACACGGAAAGTGAAACCTGTCAATTGAGAATAAGTTAATTGAGGAATCTTAAGCTCTACATAGACTAAAATGACGAGAAAAAAATAAAGCAATAAAAGGTCCTACCCTAAGAAGCATGGACACGGACACGTGACACGACACGAGTACGACACGGACACGCCGACACGTTAATTTTCAAAAAATGCAGGACACGACACGAGGAGGACACGCATGAAATATATAATTTTATATATTTATTATATGTTATATATATATGAATATATCATTCAAAGATAATAAAAAATGCAATATGACACTAATTCTTATAAATTTATATGGTTTTTATTTTATTATTGTATCTTAAGTTATTTTGTTCAAACATAAAATTAGTTTTACGTATGTCTAATCGTTAGACACGTGTGTTTAAACGATTGACACGTGTGTCCTTCAAGTGTCCAAAGAGTGTCCAAGTCTTTAAACAATAGGACACGTTTTGAAGAGTGTCGGACACGTGTCCTGAGAGTGTCCAAAGAGTGTCGGTGTCAGACACGTACCCGACACGGATACGTCACCTTCCTAGAAGTGTCCGTGCTTCTTAGGTCCTACCTATAAAAGATTCATCCCATTTCCGGCCAAAGCTGATTTAGGAACATACCACGTGACAAATGAACTACAAGGAATTGATAACACTCCTCACTAGCGCCTCCTTTGTTCCAATCATTATCAAGAAAGATGTAGTTTCTTTTAACAATATAGTTCTTGAAAAGATCTTGTTCCATCAACTATCCCCATAACCAACTCCATATTCCTCAAATTCATATTTACCAGTCCAACGCTTTCTTTCTTTCTAAGTTGCTAGCAATGCATAGAGATATATTTTACTATACTATTTTTATAACCATGCTTGCTTGCTAGAGTCATCGACTATCAGTGTTCTAAGAATAATTAATTCTCAACATCATCTACTACAAACATGTGGTTCTATAAAGACGTGTTATTTAGCAAGAGCAAAGAAAGCTTTAGCGCAAAGCTGTAACTTGGCTAGTCTAGGATAAGTTATGGATTTTACGACTTTCTTTTTCTTTTTTTTATTATTAGATTAGATTTAATAGAATCTACATTATATAATACATACATCATTCACTGACCCCAATGTTACACAAATTGACAGGATCTAAATTATCAGCACACAGTAATTAGTCACAAAATGAAAGGTAAAAATTCAATAATGCAAAATGAATGTTGATGACCAAAGGAGAAGCATAATCCAACTATTCAAAGTGTCATTTGACATTCCCATAAATGTAGCAGGAGAATGCACATATATTACACTACCGAACAGTGAAAATATTAACATCGTCCATCTAGTTGCGAAATCCGATGGTAGAACAACCATCACAAATACTGAAAAGCATTTAGAAGGGTAACTTTAAGCGAACCTGGACTATACACTGCCAAGCATTCCACATGGTTATGCAGCTCTTCTACAGGTGCTTATCTTCAATTATTGTCACCACCTTTAACCTTACAAACATCCAATCCATCAGTGCTGTGTCCATTGGATGTTCTTAATATCAATTCCCTCCTTCACCATCTCATAAAGCGGGCTCATTTCTCTCAACTTGACCACCTGCTGCACAGTGAGCTCAACCGCCCGATCAATCTCTGCTTCAGTGGTGAACCTCCCAATCCCGAACCTAATCGACGTGTGCGCCATATCCTCATCCACCCCCAATGCCCTCAAGACATACGAGGGCTCCAAGCTGGCACTCGTGCACGCACTCCCACTCGAAACTGCCACCTCTTTCAATCCCATCAACAAGCTCTCACCTTCGACATAAGCAAACGAAATGTTCAAATTCCCAGCATACCTTCTCTCAGTACTTCCATTTACCACCACACCATCAAGCTTAGCCGTAATCCCATTAAGCAATCTCTCTTGCAACTTATTAATCCTCTTCTCATCATACTCCATCTCTTTCATTGCCAATTCACACGCCGCGCCCATCCCAACAACTAACGGAGTCGGAACCGTCCCGCTCCGAATCCCTCTCTCTTGCCCTCCCCCATTCATTTGGGGCTCAACCCTAATCCTCGGCCTCCGCCGCATATACAAAGCCCCAACACCCTTGGGGCCATAGATTTTGTGCCCACTCAAAGACATCAAACTCACATTCATCTTCTCCACATCAATCGGAATCTTCCCCAAAGCCTGCGCAGCATCGGTGTGTAGCGGAACATTCAATTCCCTGCAAATTTTCCCAATCTCATCCATCGGTTGAATGACTCCAATCTCATTGTTCACCATCATGATCGAAACGAGTCCAGTATCGGGACGAATCGCGGATCGGAGCTGATCGAGGTCGACGATTCCATCGGAACCGACTGGAAGGTAGGTGACGTCGAAGCCCTCTTGTTGGAGGTGTCGGCAAGAGTCGAGGACGCACTTGTGCTCGGTTTGGGTGGTGATGACGTGGCGCTTCTTGTCTTTGTAGAAGTGCATGACGCCCTTGACGGAGATGTTGTTGGACTCGGTGGCGCCGGAGGTGAAGACGACCTCTTTGGGGGAGGCGTTGATGAGGGAGGCGACTTGGGAGCGGGCGCGCTCCACGGCCTCGTCGGATTCCCAGCCGTAGAGGTGGGTGCGGGAGTGGGGGTTGCCGAATCGGGAGAGGTAGTAGGGGAGCATGGTGTCCAGAACCCTAGGGTCTACAGGAGAGGTGGCCTGCATGTCCAGGTAGAGGGGGCGGCCGGAGATCCGAACTCCTTTCATGGAGATGCCGCTGGGGTCGTCGTAGGGTGATGGAGGAGGTGCCACGGCGGCGGCCGCGGTGGAGAAGGAACGGAGGTGGGAGGTGCGGCGGAGAGTGGTGGCCAGAAGCTTGGAGGCCATAGTGGGTTTCGTCTGGATTGGTATCAGTTTATTTTTGCGGCAGTGTGTTTTTTCGTAGGATAATTGCGGAGGGAGGGAGAGAGAGAGAGAGAGAGAGAGGAATCGCGTAAGATGAAAGGATAGTATCCCAATTGCAATGACGAGTCACCGACGGAGGAGATGTGTCGATTTGACACGTAGCAAGATGAGCACCGCAGCTCTCTCACGTGAACATCGTAACGTTACGCACACAGAGTATGCAACACAAAAATTAAACAGCAATAATAGGGACGATTATAGTGATCTAAAACAATTATTAATGATGCAATATTTACTTTTAAAAAAAAAAACACAAAATTACTGTGACGGTAAATGAGATTCACAACTACATTATTAGTGGTGACAATAATAAGTATTCTCACTTATTTTTTAAAATTAAATACATAAATTATTCGTCAAATATTTATGCAGATGATCAGAAAACATCATAACAGAAATCGATATCATAATAACGGCGATCAAACTAATCGTCCAAGTAATTGTCCGGCTGAACGACTGAATGCACAATTTCTATGCTCCAATCTCTGTGCTTACACTTTTTGCACGCCAAAGGATAAATTTCACTAATCACCTTGCCACATAAAAAATAACAAACTATATTAGATTAGATGGTCTTACAAATGGCATAGCGACAAATGTGGCGTAACTAACACCACTCTAATATTTAATCAAAATTTTTATTAAATTTAAGTAAAATTTTTAATTTGATATCATTCACTCTAATATTAAAATTAGAATTTTTATTAAATTTTTTCACATTTCTAGTTGTTTAGCTGATGTTCTAAAGATTGTTTAAACATAAATAAAAAAATTATCAAAGTTACTCTTGGATAGACATCCAGTCTAACGGTAATAATTTAAATTTGATAAAAAATGAAAGACTCCCTTCATTTAATGAAAGTTTTGACTTTCCCTCTATTTGATATGAATTAGGTGAAAGGGTTAGAGTGTCAAAATTCATCAAATTAAAATTTCATTAAACATCTGATATTAGATTGGAGATACTCCAATAACACATTAAGTTATAACTATTGACTCAAATGTTACTGTTATATCTATGTTACAATATACACACTAGTTTATTTTTAAATGTTATCAGATATTTTAATATTATAATGTTTTATAGATTTGATTTGATTTTCTTTCTCTCAAAGTCTTCTAAGTCTTGCCCACCAAGTCAAGTCTTTTTCTTTGCCTCCAAGTCTCCTCCAAGAAACTTTCTCACAAAGCTTCCTCTCTTATACTTATCCTCCAAGCAACTTTCAAGAATCCTCTAAGGAACTTGTCCACCAAGCTTTCATCTCCTATAAATTGACCTAACCTCTTATCTTGGAAGATAAGAAGAAATTTATGTTGTTTTATTATGTTTGTGTGAGATTATCGGGCAAAGAAATAAAAGGTATATGTGATGAAGTTTTGGGTTCAACCAATTATGCAGTATTGGTGAACCATACAACTTAGTTGGACTGTTGTATCCTGGGGGGAACATATCATAGTTTTTTCTGCTGCAACGGTGTGAGGCTTTGCCTAACCGCACAGGGCTTGAATCTCCTTAAAGAGAGCGAATTTCCCGCCCCTCAGCCCTTACAATCGTTATTGTAATTTTTATTATTTGTATTTTATGGTGTTTTATTTGTAATTATCACCGACAATTTTAAGGAGATTCAAATAGCAAAAAATTCATGGAGCTAGTACTAGAGAAGCCCAACGAGAATACCGGCGATCTCAACAAGCCTTTCCGATTCAAGGGAGCCCATTTCAAGAGATGGAAAGGCAATGTGCTTTTTTACCTCAGTCTCCTCAAAGTGGCCTATATCTTGATCGAGAAAAATCCGAACAAAGTCCCCACTGAAGAGATGACCGACGAGAAGTATGCCGTTCATCTTGAAAAAATCAAGAAATATAACACAAATGAGTATAAATGTCGGTATTATCTTTTGAATTATCTTTCAGATCAATTTTATGATTATTATGATACTACTTACACCACTGCCAAGAAAATTTGGAAAGCCTTACAGAATAAATATGACACTGAAGTGGCAGGTACTAAAAAATATATTGCAAGCCATTTTTTCTGCTATTAGATGATTGATGGAAAATCAGTGGTAGAGCATGTTCAAGATTTTCAGATGCTAGTAGCTGAAGTTAGATTCAAAGGCATCAAAATTGGAGACAATCTTGTTGTAGCAGGTATTATTGACAAACTACCATCATCTTAGAGGGAGTTCCAGAAGTCAATGCGTCACAAGCAAAAAGAGACATCCTTAGAGACTCTAATCACACGGATTCGGGTGGAGGAGGAAGCACGAGGACAAGATGCGCTTATGACACAAGAACATTCCACTACAAAGGTAAATTTAACTTCTGGAAATACTTTACCTAAAGGTCGATTTCATAAAAATAATCACTTGAAGCCAATTAAGAAAATATGGAAAAATACTAGAAGGCCACAAAATAAAAATTACCCGAGGCAAAAGAAATGGAACCAAGAACCTCCTTAACAAGATCTGACAAATGTGACATGTTTTGTGTATGGCAAAAGTGGACATATTGCTCAAACTTACAAATTTCGAAAACAACAGTCTCGACCACAGGCTAATGTTACTGAGGAACCATTTGTGGCTATGATCACAGATATTTTTATGATTCAATTTGTGGAAGGGTGGTAGGCAGACTCTGGTGCCAATAGGCATGTCTGCTATGATAAAGACTGGCTCAAAGATTCACGCCTTTTAATGAGGAGAGGACTGTTATGCTTTGTGACTCCAGTTTAACCAAGGTGCTTGGGTGTGGGGATGTTGAGCTGAAATTTACCTCTGGACGTGTGCTTGTTTTAAAAGATGTGTTATACACACCGTCCATGAGGAAAAATTTGATATCGAGTTATTTGCTCAACAAAGCTGGTTTCAAGCAGACTATTGAATCTGACCAATATGTAATCACTAAAAAATGCATATTTGTGAGGAAAAGGATATACCCGTGATGGAATGTTTAAATTAAATGTTGAGAATAAGAAAGCACATGTTTTTGTTTACATGCTGTCTTCTATGAATTTTTGGCATACTCGTCTGTGTCATATTAATAGCCGATATGTGGAAGTCATGAGTAGTTTAGGATTCATGCCCAGACTAACAAATAAGGTTGAGAAATGTGAAGTTTGTAGTCAAGCAAAAATAATTAAAAGGCCTCATAAAAGTGTGGTGAGAAATACTAAATTGTTAGAATTAATTCACACCGATTTACGTGAATTTGAAGGAATTTTAACACGTGGTGGACATAGATATTTTATCACTTTTATTGATGATTTTTCAAAATATACTTATGTATACTTGTTGAAAAATTAAAGTGATGCTTTTGAAAAATTTAAAAAATTCCTTCTTGAAGTTGAAAATCAATTCGGTAAAAAGATTAAAAGATATAGAAGTGATAGAAGCCGGAAATATGAATCTTTTGGATTCAACTCGTTTGCTCAGTCTTTAGGAATAATCCATGAAACTACTCCACCATATTCACCTGCATCTAATGGTGTAGCAGAAAGGAAAAATAGAACTTTAACGGATTTAACAAATGCTATGCTAATTGAAGCAGGTGCTCCTTCAAATTTGTGGGGAGAAGCAATTTTAACTGCATGTTATGTTATGAATAGAGTGTCACATAAAAAAAAACAAAATTTACATCTTTTGAGTTATGGAAAGGGCATAAGTCAAATTTGAGATATTTGAGGGTTTTGGGTTGTCTAGCTTTTGTTAGACTTGTGGACCCTAAAAGACTTAAATTAGGTGTGAAAGTTGTCACTTGTGCTTTTCTTGGATATGCAACAAATAGTACAGCCTATAGATCTTTTGATATTGAAAACAAAATAATTTTTGAATCAGGTGATGCAATTTTTCATGAAGAAAAATTTCTTTTTAAATCTAAAAATGGTGGGGGTCAAAATTATCAAGAAAATATTTTATCTGAAACCGGTCCCTTTACTCCTCTTTTACAAAACCAAGATACTGTAGTTTTTGAACCTAGAAGGAGTAAAAGAGCCAGATTAGAAAAAGATTTTAGCCCTGATTATCATATTTTTAATGTGGAGGAAACTCCATTAACTTTACAAGAAGCTTTGGCATCTCCTAACTCTATTTTTTGGAACGAGACTGTAAATGATGATATGGAATCATTATTATCCAATAAAACTTGGGTATTAGTAGATTTACCACCAGGTTGTAAAACTATTGGCTGTAAATGGGTTTTGAGGAAAAAACTTAAACCGGATGATACTATTGATAAATATAAAGCCGGGCTTGTTGCTAAAGGTTTTAAACAACAAGCAAATCTTGACTTTTTTGATGGATTTTCTCTGGTTACTAGAGTTATATCCATTAGATTATTAATTACAATGGCTACAATTAATGATCTAAAAATTCATCAAATGGATGTTAAAATAGCCTTTTTAAATGGAGACCTGGGTGAAGAAATCTATATGGATAAACTTGAGGGTTTTGTGGAACCCGGTCAAGAAAGCAAAGTGTGCAAGCTAGTTAAATCCCTATATGGCTTAAAACAGGCCCCTAAACAGTCGCATGAGAAATTTGATTCCTGCATGATTGAGAATGACTATAAAACGAATGAATGTGATAAATGCATCTACTATAAATCTGAAAAAAATTCACATGTCATTATTAGCCTCTATGTGGATGATTTACTTATATTTGGTTCTAATTTGCATGTCATCGTGAAAACTAACTATATGCTTAGAAGCTATTTTGATATGAAAGATCTTGGTGAGGCTAATTATATTTTGGGAATAAAAATTAGCAAAACCTGTGATGGTATATTTCTTGATCAGTCGCATTATGTTGAGAAAATTTTGAGAAAATATAATTTTTATGAGTGCAAGCATGTTCTTACTTTTTTTGATCCTCATGTGCGTTTATTTCCTGTTGAAAATGCTGAGGATGTAATTAATCAAAAGGAATATGCTAGTATGATTGGTAGCATACGTTATGTGACTGACTGTACTAGACCTGACAGTGCTTATGCAGTTGGAGGACTTAGCAGGTTTACTAGCAAGCCTGGTAGTGATCATT